TCTCATCTAAAGACTCTTCTCTACCTGGAATGACATACTTAAAAGGATTTTTAAATTAAAAGGGAGCTCTGTATTAAGAACATAAACCCTTTATCAGAGGTGTTGATGAAGGCAAATGGAAGATCCCTTTGCTGGATAAATTTCACAAGGAATTCCCAGCCCACCCCACAAATTCTGAACCAACGCATTCAAGCCTCTGGTTTTCTCTAACCCATAAAAGCTCCAGATAGTCAAATATTATGCTTCTGCTTTTTAAATATTTCCATTTAAATGTAGATTTTGACCTTCTTGCCAATGAAATATTAATAAGAGAATAAAATATATATTACTCTTCTTCTGAGGGAGAGGTCTCTCTAACTCTGTCATGTTCCCCATCGGTTTTTTTGAAGAGGATTTCTTTAAACCATGGTGAATTTATTCTTCATTCCTACCTTTTTTTAGGCCACGGCAGCTGAAAGCAGAAAGGTGATCCCTTTATTTTTCACATCCCAGGGGAAAGAAAAGGGGTAGAAATTCTATTTCTCTAGATCAATGAAAAGTAAACAAGGACACCAAAGAAACTATATCATTTCCAGCAAGATGCAAAAGGCTAATTTAATTTGAAGTAACTGTGTTCCTAAACAAGGAGACAGTATAAAGATTAACTGAGACCTCCATTTCTTTATATAACTGCAGCCCATTAAGTGGAATAAAACTCACAAATTGCCCTGCTTATCCATCTTTATCTTCATCATTGTTCCAAGATGAATTCTCCCTCCCCTCTCTACAACATTATTTATCTTTCTCACTCCTCCTTTGTCGTTAATGGAAGGGAAAACAACAAAATACATCATGGTGCTGCAGCACTAATGCAGTACTGCTTAAAGGGGATCAGTTCTGCTCCTGCTGATTTAAATGAGGGCCAGGCTGGACCCCAAGGATGCTCTACAGTCCTAATTACAGCTGCAGCAGGAGAAATGTTTCATCAATGCATGATAACATCCTCTTTTAAGACCATGGTAAGATGTACTCTAGAAACACAGGTGGTAAATCCTGTTGGTATCCAGCACAATATCCTCAAGGTTGTTGTTCTGGGTATTTGCCCCTGGGGTCCTGTTTCGGGTAGCACTGTAGTGCTACCGCACAAGTAGTGGGGAGTGGGACAGAAATCATCTAGTAAACTATGGAAGGATGTAAGACAGCTGAAAAATCTCAACTGAGATGGACTGAGACCTTGAGAACCTGCTACTACCAGATGACAAATACGTCGTGTGATGAAGGAGACCCTGGGAGGGCTCTCAATCATTGCTGAGAGCTGCCCTGTGCTGGACGCCTTCTGGAGAGAGCCATAAAACAGAGATCAGCAATACCTCAAACTTTACTTACCAGCTTTTGCTGCTAGTTCTCATGCTAGTGCCTCTCTAATCTAACTTGTGGAAAGTATCAATCCTGATTTTTCAAGTATATTGCTCTTATTTGGCTAAATTACAGCCTTATGCCGTCAACCCAGGTACTCTCACCACCTCCAGAGCAGGGTGTAATTTACAGAGGGTGCAATTCTGAAAGGCAGATATTTAGAGCTAAGTGCCCAAATGCAGCTAAATTTCAATGAGCACAGGGTACCTAATTCTCTTACACACTCTTCAAATCCTAGCGCCCCCCTCTTTTTCTTTTCTCAGATGCTAGCAAGGAAAGGTCAACCTAATTTGTCATAGCAGCAAGTGAAGGCAAAAGATCAGCACACGCTGACAAGCTGGCTGAGAGGTTTCATTATAGAGCTGTTTACAGCATTTATTTCTCCTGTTGTCGCTGCTGTTTTCAGGGTCAAGGAATTGAGATCCCATTTCAGTAGCAGAGATCACTGGCCAGGGAACAAAACACTTGAATTTTACTCCCCTCTCCCCAGCTAGTTGACTCCTATGCCACCAACTGTTGAGACTGTGACCACAGCATTGTTGAAGTTTACATTAACACCTAGCAATGCTAAGTCTAACATCACCAGTCAGCATTTAAATGGAGTGTAACAACAGTCTTAATTCACAATAGCTTATCAGCCAATCAAGTCGACTAATTTGAAGTTATGGTCTTTGGAACATAACATTCTTTCTGTAAAGAAGAAATGCATCAGTGAATGATAATTTCTGAAGTAGTCTTTTTTTTCACAGCTTTTTATATTCTGCAGTTCATACGGAAATGGCTTAAAGGTCTACACCATCACTAACACAAACACTTTACTATGTTTAACACCTGTTACCTCTAAGTAAAGGGAACACTGATGAACGTATGAAGGTTCTCACCAGCTGCTACCCTCACACAAAGGCCAGGTTCAGGGTCTGGCAAACTCACTAAGAGAGGGAACAGTTAGGACTGTCCCCAGGTCAGGAGATGCAGGCACCCACTGACCGGAGCACCCACAAATGGACACAACAGGACCCAAGAGAGAACATGCCCTGGCACATGCACTTTGGCTGTTTTACAGTCCTCACTACAGCGCAAGGAATAGAGGAGCAGCTCTGCTGAGGCTGCTGCTAAATATCTCACAATTCAAAAAGGACAGCCGAGAGTCAAAGCAAGCAAATTGAGTGCAATTGCATGGCCAAGAGCCAAGCCTCAGAGATAAAAGACAGTAATGGAAGACCTTCAGCCACAGCCAAAAGTTCAGCTGACAATAGGATTTCTGTTCCAGTAACAGGAAAAGAGGAACCTTTAGGTCAAGTAAACCACATCTCCTGACTCTGCCTCAAAAGCCTGCTAAAAAGGTCAAGAGATTTTGTATCTCCCAGCTATGTGATGAAAGGCTGTGCCACATACCCATTTATTTCATATTGCTTTTGTCAGGTGATGGCAATATTCACATGTGATGAATAGATCTGCAGGCAATGGAATCGCACATTCACATCTCCCATGTCCACATCATCTTGCCTATGCGCTGAAGCCAAACAGATCAGTATCTTTACTTGATCTGTTTAGCTGAGGACAAGCTAGAAAGAGATTGGAGAGGTTTTGAACTCTGAAGGAAATTAAGGGTGAAAATTACTCCAGAGGAGTGCTGTGGCAGTTATGTGAGCATCCATCCACATACTGTTTTACTTGGAAAACACAAATGGGATTTCAGATGGTCTAAAGGCCTTTGGCTGGCCCTCTGCATGGCCAAAAATCTCCTGCTGCCTCAAAACCACAATCAGTATTTCTTTGTGTTAGCAAATGTAAAATAAAACAGGGAACAAAACCAATATAAACTTCAGTGTGTGGGTTTTTTTTAATCTCCCCTTTTCAAAGGCTTTCAGGATAACTGGAGGAACCTAACTCCCAAGGAAGCATACACAAAAACCCCACAGAGTTAGCAGGCAGAGAAACACATTCTCGTGAGCAATTACTTATGCCCCTCCACAAGCACACAACACTATCACATCAACACACTGCCTTAAGAGGCACTCTGCACCAGCACAGAGACACAAGACAGAAGAGATTCAGTGACAACACTTGAGCCTTTTCCTCCCACTCTGCACTCAGCAGCTGTGATCCCCGAGAATCCATCTTCAGGTAAGAGCCCACAGAGGCTCTCCATTCTGGGTTTCTTTCCCCATTCAAATGGCCAGCAAGAGAAGAAAGCTCCCAACCCAATTTATTTAAGTGTCTTCAGCAATATCCTTTACCGAATTTCAAAGAGCTGCTGGCAGTTGTTAAGCTGGTGCTGTTTAACTTGGACATCTGTCCACCCCGGCTGAGATGACCAACTCACTTTACATCACCGGCTAGCAATCAAATAATAATTACTTTGGGTTACTACAAACTGGAGCTGGATTTGAGTGAATGATTTCAGAGCACTGGAATCCATTACCAATAACCCAAACCATCTGGGTTCTTGTCTCTGTTACAAAGAAAGCAGCAACTATTCCAAACATTAATTCAGACACTAAGTACTAGCTGGCTCACCAGTCCATGGGAGCAGTGGCACGTAGAGTTTGACATAATTACCTCAAGATGGAAGCTAGACGGACATCCTATGGAGAGCGGTTCAGAGTTTACATTCTGTGCTGCATTTAGCTCTCTGGAGTTATATGGAAAAGGTTTGTATTCAATAAAAAGCTCCATTTAACATTATTTCCTTTGCAAAGGCAAGCTGGATAACGCTGGTGGAAAGCGAGGGTTGTGCAAATGTAGCTTGCAGCCTCCCAGCAAAAGGGAAGCCAGCTGACGAGCAGGAACTGTGATTCCTGTAACAACTGAGTTAGACTCTGCAACAAATTGGTACATCCAAATAAACAAATCCCCGAATCCCCTCCGTTTGCCTTTATGAAACAAATGAGTCAGTGCTGAGTAATCGTATTATAATACTGGGAAGCTTGTAATAGGCTTACAAACCATGTGTTTACAGGCTCATTATTGTTCAGGGCTTGCTGAGATAATAAGGAAGCTATGTGAGAAGCACTTTGGAGTCAAAATCTTATCAGATATCTTTTGGAACCAGAATCAGTTTGTAATTCAGACAAGACTAGGTATGAAGGAGCGGGACTGAAGTGACTGAAAAGGAATGGTATTTCCTCACTTGGGACCAGAGATCTCAGAGATCTCTTCTTCAAAGCTACCATCTACACAAGGGAGGGCAAAGCTGAGAACAAAACATACATTCTCACCATTTTTACTGGACAAACTAAGGCTCTATGGAACCAGCCACCCCTCTGAGAAAGCAGCTCTTCTGAAAGGCCAATTTCACTGAAGAAAGGAAAATGAAAAGCAGCATTTCTTCACTGCATCCTGTTAAGGATGGAGGTACTTTACACCTTGGTTTTCTCTTCCATTTGCAATATATAAGGGCATCTTTCTTTAACAATCTGGCAGAATCACACAAATAAACATCACAGGACATGTGAACCAGCCTATGGAGTGGAGCAGGCAGTTGCACTTCACCCTTATAAGAAAATCTGTAAAAACAAGATAATGATTCTCACTTTCTACAGATTTTTATTGTAAAAGTCAGCAGAACTCTACAAATTTTATCTGTTCTAAAAGCCACAAACCTGTTTCATCGGAGTTGTGTGTCCATTTCATTCTTAAAATTACCTCACCAGCAAAAATATGATGCCTCTGTCTTCTGACTGCTCATACTAAATTAGAGATGCTTCTCCCCTAAACACATTCGCATGCAAACCCCAGGAGCCATCATTCCTGCTGTGACAAAAGAGAGTGGATATGCAATAGTGTTACAAATACTCCAGGAGATATCCTCTCCTGCAGAAGCATCTCTGAGAATTCAGCAGTCCACAACACTCACAGAGAGAGAGAACTCTGGTTTCTCCAGACACACAGGACAATGTCCCATGCTCTTAGCTTCAAGAAAGCTGGTTCCTCCACCTGCAGCAAATGGTCAACCTTGCTTATGTTGAGATTAAGGTGAAGCGTTCAAACACCTTCAAAGCTGTGGTAGGAGAAGAACTATTTGGCAGCCACCCTCCTTGTCTCCAGGGAAAGGGACAGTTGGGATCTATGATAACCTATCAGGAAATCCACAAATCCTGGAACACTTTCTGTGTCAACATTTTCTAAGGGACAGTGTAGAGTGGGCAGCAAAATGCCATATAAATTATCTTAAAAGCCAAGTTTCATGTCCTCAAGGATCAATTATTGCCTTTGTGTTTAAATGCATTTAATACAGCAATCCTGTAGAGGGGCAGGATCTTCATTGTTGTGGCCAGTTCAGCCCTGCTGGTCTGTTAATGGGATGGGTCAGCATGATGCCAACATTATGAAGGACAAAGAAAGACCAAGAATAAATCCCTTCTGACCCTGTTGTCACTTGGGTCACACTACAGGCTAGCATTATGTTTATCCAGCACCATTAACCTCCGCTTCTCCAGCACACAACTAAAATCCAGCTGAAGCAAGGCAGCTCAGCCAGAGCCACTGTCAGAGATGGACCCAAGGCCGGTCCTCACAGGAGCTGTAGCAAGGCATTTGTCTGCCCCAGTAACATGTGGAATGGCAACCACCATGCTGTGACAGCTCTGCACATGCAGTCACAAAGTCATCACAGAATCCCAGACTGATTTGGATTGGAGGGGACCTTAAAGCTCATCCAGTTCCAATCCCTGCCACAGGCAGAGACACCTTCCACTAGAGGAGGTTGCTGCAAGCCCCATCCAACCTGGCCTTGAACGGCGCAGCCACAGCTTCTCTGGGCACCCTGTGCCAGTGCCTCAGCACCCTCACAGGGAAGAACTTCCGCCTAAGAGCTCATCTCAATCGCCCCTCTTGTCAGGTTAAAGCCATTACCCCTTATCCGGTCACTACATGCTCTTGTAAAACGTTCTGGTATGCTCCTCTGTTCCCTGGAGGCTACCAGTCCTCACAGTGCCACCACTGCAGCACCATTACACATTTTGCTCTAGTCACAGTTGCTACTTCAACCCTCTGCGGCAGCCCCAGCACTGGCAGGAGCATCCTTGGCTGTTTAAACAGACGTGCAGGACTCCACGGAGCTGGTGTGTCCCACTTCTGCAGCATAACTGAGGCTAGACTTTGCCTAAAGCAGCAGACACCATGTCTTGAAACCTTCTGATTACGCAGCTGGGGAAGCCCTCATCCTCTGAAATTATCAGGTAATAAGAAGAGCATGAGAGAAAGAACAGGGACAGGGTGGAGCAGAGAGGGAATATCTATGGCCTTCTGCACCCAATTCTGTCACTCTGACATTTCTTTCAAATACAATTATTTAAAGCCTCCTGATGGCAAAGCTGAGGAAATGGACTAATAGTAGCTTGTACGGTACCTCTCCATCAGGCAGTTCAATAAATCCTGGCAGTGCCGTGATTTGTGTTAGGAGAATGAGCTTTTCAAGAGCAGAACTATCACGTTACACCGTCAATAATCTCACTGTCAAACCCCCCTCCCGAGTAACCTCACCGACACTTCAGAAGCTTAATTTATAGATGCACTACTTGCCTTCAAGGTATTTTATGCAGCTAAATAATGGAAGCGCGTTATTATCCCAAACTACTCTGCACCTTTCACAAGTGGAGTTGAAGAACATGCAGGAGAACAAATCTATTAGCTCAGGGCTAAATTCTTCCCTGTGTGACACCTGTTTGATACCATCTACCACTAGTGGAGCCGCTTCCAAATTAGACTCCAGGAAACAGAAGCAGAATCAAGCTCTTGCACTTCCAGAGGAGGATTAGCATTTAAAGTGCAAAGCAGCTCATGGAGAAATGCCACAGGGTCTTTCTTTGCATTGCTGTGGACCACTTGTAGCTGCAGGAAGCTTTACCCACTGCTTCCCTCACCTAAGAACTGCAGTGGGCTGAAGTATCCGCCTCGAACTTCAGGGCTAGGGTACTCACAACTACACGGAAGTTGCAAGGATCAGTGATGATAAATAAGTGGATCATCTAGAAAGATCTGGGCTCATTTTCAGGTACGGGGACATTTCCATAGAATCACTTTGCCAAATTGGAAAAGCTGGGCTTGTTTTTCCTTTCCCTAATGGAATACAGGATGGGCTTTCCCCTCTCCAAAAGCTATTTAATGGAAGAGGCTGGATTTCATTTATTCCTGGCTCTTAATGCTGATCGGGCAAGAATTAGTTCCTTTAATGGGAAAGTATTTGTGCAACTATAACAAAGAATACCAGGGAGAGACTCTGGGCAGACACCAAGCATGACAGTGCCATTGTATCCCACAATCTGAGAACTCCCAGCTGTTTCAACCAAGAACAATAAAAATTGGCTTGCTCCAGAGCAGGGTAAGCCCTTTACATAAGCCAGCAGCAAAAGTGTGGAAGACATCAGCATTTGCACATGTTCTTGGTTCCAATGAGTTAGAGAGAAGACTCAAACCAGTAACTCCAACCAAGGGAAAAAACTCAGCTCTACACCCAAATTCTGTAGCTTGGATTGAAGCATATCTTGCCAGTGACACATGCATATTCCAGACTGCACAACAGCAGAGTCCTTTTCTTGGTCAATACCTAATTAGACTGCTCCTTTTTTCAGTTCACAACTGAGCCACTGTAACAGGTTTTGCCTTTAAAGCTGGGCTTGTGCCCTTGCTCTGACAAAGGAAGAGAACTGAACTGCCCTTTATCCAAGTTATTAATCGGTTTGGTTTAAACAGCAGCGTTTCCTTGACTAATAAGTCAGATGCCAACAAATCAAGGTAATGATCCAAAGGTCAATCCACCAACAATGTCCCTTTTGCATATTCCTGACACTCAGAAGCTGACTATCTGCACAGCCAGCCTCCAACACCCTCCTGACAAGGGTGGCAAAGTCAGCTAAAAGCTGTCTGCAGCTCCCTGTCCTTGGTGAATGAGGAAACCCTCCCACTGCCTATACACACACCAAGGGCAGAACTGTGTTCCCACTTACAAACTGGGGTAAGACCCCAAAGTACCAGAGCGAGAAGGGTTTTAAACAACTCCACATCTCTTTGTCTCATCAGCCCAAAGCAAGCTTGGCATCTGGTACCCCCCTTATAACTCCCTACAATCAAGTAAATTTACCAGAGCCTGCCAAAGCCACAGAATAAATGGATCTCAGCTTACTAACCATGCAAGCACATGTAACTTCTTCTGGATGGAGCTTGAGCAGCTTAGCTACGTAACATAGATCCTATGCCCACTGCCCCCTTTCTTTTAGTAACACAAAACTCAGGATCATTTCTACACAGTTCCAAAAGCAGCCTAGCAACAACAGTGAAAAGCACAGCTGCCTTGTCCTTCCTACAGTATACCATGGCAATAAGTTTCCTATCCCCACCAGTTCAAACCCACCAAAGAGGCCAATTCACCTGCCCAGTAACTTCCAGTGAGCAGCTCTGCACTGCTGGCTCCCCTAATGAAAGCCGTTCGATGACCAAACTTGGCTGATGCAAGGCATAAGCGAGCGCACAGCCCCCTTGACTGGCTAGAGAACAGTTGGGTTTTTTTTCCCTCCCTCTTTGATCATGCCAAGGGTAAAACTGAAGATTGGTTTTGGCTCAGGTCCACCCTGTGTAAGGCAGAATGATCACCTGGTATTTACCTCAAAATCGTCTTCTCTTTCATACACAAACTGCTGTAGATTAAAGTCAGCGCCATGCGGCAAGGAAAGCTCCTGGCTAAGCCTCAGCCACACAAAGATCTCTGTGGGAATATTGACAAGATTGACTTCTCCTGCATGTTTAAAACAAGTGTCAAAAAATATTTATGCAAGCTTTTTTCCACCCTATCTGTCCTCACTCCTTAATCCTGATGCAGTTGGAAAAGCAACTCATGACAAGTCTGCAAGCAACCGTGGTCCAGGGGCAATATTTACACTCTGCTCAGGTCCAGGTATCCCCAGGGCTGGGAAAGGGCTCCTGGAACAGGCAGCTTCAGTCTCATGGCCCTGTTAGAGCTTCTTCATGCCTGCAGCACCGGTGGGAGCATGGCAGGGAAGCTCTTGGCTGCCCCCTGCTCCACTCCAGCTTGGTCTCTTTGATCTCTACTTTGCCATCCATCCCACAGCAAAGTCAGTCTGAGCGACTGCACATTGCTGTGTGTTGTATTTCATGTCAAATCTGAAGTTCAGGGGGTTTCCTTCCCATATAACAGGAGTGGGTGCCTAAAGACAGGGGCTGATCTTTACTTGTTAATCCAAGGAGCAAGTTCTGCCCACACTCCCAACTGAACCACAGAAGCTAAAGTACAAACCAACAGCCTCCCTTGAAGGTGTACAGAGTCTCTCTGGCACATCAGCTATCCAACTGATGGAAAACCTGCAAATACATCTGAAGGCTTGATCCATCAGTGCTGAAAATTCTCTGGAATAATGGAGATGGCACGCAGTTGGGTTTATGTGTAAAAATGCCTGAGTAAGACAGCCTCAAAATGAAGCTTCTCTTTCTTCCCTAAGGCAGTTCAGATGGAGATGACAGGAGGAATCCCTAGATTCAAGACGAAAAATCTCATCAGAATGTCTTCTGTACACCAGCCAGGGCAGTGCCCTTCCAGACACACAGAAATGTCTTAACTTCTAAATGCTTTTTGCCCCTTACTGTCTTCTTCTCTTACTACTTCACCTTCTATCACTGTTCCTCATCTCTTCCCATCACAGTGTATATTCCTCTGTCTTGCTACCAACAGCAACTCTATTCAATACAAGTATCCAGAAAATGGCCACAGAAACACACAAATACACACACACAGTAGTTCACATGCCATTTGCATACTACAGCAATATATTCTGTGGAATCTGAGAGATGCTCGTAACTCCTGCCACAATATTTACCATTTCTGCTATTTGTCCTGCCCATCACTCATTTAAACTCTCACTTCTTTAAGGCACATGGTACATTGTCTCCCAAAATGGAACACTGCTCTCATGGGGGTCCTTCAACCAGAAGGGATCTATGAAATAATCCCACAGTATTACCTTTTGGTAGCCAGACACCTTAAACCAGCCACCTTTCTGGCTCTTTGACAAGAAGGAAACAAGAGCATCTGATTACACAGAGATGTCAGAGAGCATGTTACTAAAGCAACAGAGTGTCCCAAGTCACTCTCTAGCTGCTATCAGCATAGTAACCCCAGGAGACAGCAGCAGGTTGGGGGGATAGAGCTGAGCATCCACTGCTCATCGGGTGAGTGATAAGACAGTCTCGCGTGTACCCAGCATTGCTGAAATCCCAGACTTCCCATGGGAATGAGAACAGAAGGTTTGACACACATCTGTATGTGAGCAGTAACTGCTGAGCTGCCTTCCCTAGACAACGTGCCATGAAGCAAATGAAAGAGAACAAAGCCAATGAATGGCACAGGAGAGAAAGCAGCCTTGTGCTTTCCCCCCTGTGATAAAGGAGTACAGCAAACCTGCAAGGTGCAGCTTCTTGTAGGGAATGGGCCTGGATAAAATAAGACTGACTGCACCACCATCCCAAAAAGCACTTTATTAGAACAAAGGACCTCAATCTTCTGAAGTAACTTCCCAAAAATCTTAGCAAATGAGTACAAGAATGGCATTAGTATACCTTTTTTTCATTTAAAATACATCTTAATTCCAAATAATCTTTAATTTCATATCTACTTGAATCCCAGAATACAAAATTGATAGCAAATTGATCCTGCCCTTGCTTATTAGCTCTTGGAGGAAAGCATGTTTGAACCCTTGTTTTCTACTGCAAGCGGATTCAAATATGTAAATTCAGTCTGGAGAGACACAAGTTAAGTCCAGCTCATTATCATATGAAGTGATTTACATTTTATCTACTTGACTGAAAGCCATGTATTGGCCCAGGTTCACATGCTTCGCTACATAGGTCTGTAATTTAGTTCAGATCCAGTGAAGCCTGAAGTCTGGAGAGCCAACATCAAGGTTATCACAACTCATATTTTCCTGAAATTAAATTCAGACTAGATCCTGAAATGGTTACATTTAATGTCTGATCTTGAAAGAGTAAGGCTGATCTCATCCCAGAACTGACATTAGGTTTAATGCTGCTTGGTAACCAGCAAATATAAAGAAACAGGGCACATCCAGTGTTGTACAAGATGAGTTAAGCAGTGCAGCCTCACGTCTTGCATTGCTGCTGCTATACCCCAAGTGAAGCACCTTCAAAATCTTCACTCCATAAACACTTTTCATGGCCAACTTAATGCATGACTTAAGTCCGCAAATGAATTTAGTTACAAAGCATCACCAAGATGTGCCTTCACTTACAAAGCACCACAGGCCAAACCAGAGGCCTTTGGATTATAGAGAAAAAAACAGATGCTCTTCTCCTCTTGGAGCTTTTACTTGTGAAGACTGTGGCTACCAAACACTTTCACATCATGTTTTTGCAGCCCAAAGAGCAGAGCAGGGAGGAGTTGCCTGTAACACACTCACCCATCAATCCCGTCACTCACACCATGCTGCACCATGGCACTCTGTTTAGTTTGGACTGGTCCTTTGGCTGTAGACACCAAAGCTTCTTGCTTGGCAGTAACAGACCAGTCATTTAAGACACTGTTCAGAGCAATGATTATTGTTGTTGTTTGATTCTGGTATTTTTAGGAAGAGGCAATCCTGCAGATTTGCATCTCATTTCCCAGAATGCCCTAGGGCTTTTCCAGCAGTTGGAATCTTGCAGGATAAACATCTTCCCCTGATTGTAATTGCATTATTAAATATGATTGCTCTCCTCTTCCTTGAAAATGTTTTAAAAGCAGCAACAAAGAACACTGCAAGAAAGCATCCTGTTGACAGCATAGAGAATTGCACACCAGAGACAAACAGGAGTATTCCACCTTTACCTTCCACATGCAAAAAAGGCTCTTCTAAGCCACGGAGTCTCACAACACCAGACAGAAGCTTACTCTTCTAAATAACTGCAACCATAAGAATCCTTCAGCTACCAAAATTGAGGCCACTACAAATAACCGTCTCCATTAAAAAACGTATTGCAATAACTCCAAGAAATCCCCTCAAAGATCAGGGTTCTGTTCCTGTAAATCCTATAGACACAAATAACCATAATCATACAGAAGTCACCCAGGTGTAACTGCAGCAGGTGAAGGGGAGGCTACAGGGGAGATTAATATGATTCTGACCTGCACAAATGTGCTCCTTAGTTCTGAAGTTACACTAAAGAGCTTCTTACACCTAATACACAGCAATTGACTCCATCCCTGCACACTCCAGTGATTTGGCTGGTTAAATTCCTTTTCCTCTAGAAAGTTCCTATTCTCTACAATGTCTCACTGCGTCTTTTACTGTATACTCCATATTTATATTGACATTTCATGACTATTTACACTTACACACCCCCATATATACACACAACATATACACATTCAAAACACACAACACACAAATATTGTGCTTAGGCATGCATGTGTTTTTCTATATAACATTCAGATAATCCCCCACAGAAACCCAGCTGGGTTGGGGGTAGGTGAAGAACGTGCCATAGCAAACTGCACACTCTAAGTAGCCGTTAAACTGCTTGAGACCACTTCGCTGCTTTCAAGAGCCTCAGCTCAAGTGTTTTCACTAGGTTTTCCACGTCTAACAGCTTCACGGCATGGGAATCAGTAATGCTTCGTCAGAGTATGCTTAAAAAAATAAGTTCAACATCTCGAAAGCAAGGCCTGCTATACAACAGATGGTCTAACCTCTTGAATGTCAAATCCTTCTGTGGCAGGCAGCCCAATTAAAGTGACATTTTTAGCAGCATGCTTCTCTCCACTGTGCCCTTCCTCCCACTTTAGCCTCAATGTCCCAAGGGCAATTGCTCACCACACAATTACAAACACCAGTTTACTCTTGTTCTTTCTCCCCAGTCTAATTTGGAAGAAACTATGATGATGGTTAATCTAACGCCTGGGTCTCAATGAAGAAAACTCTTTAAAAAGAGAAGACCTTAAAGCAAACATGAAAATCGTCAGCTAACCAGCATGCCTCCTGAGCTGCTGATTAGGATCATTTCCTTTTAGCCTCTTCAGCTACAGCAAAGGTCTTTGTCGTTCACCTTGTCTTTCCAAAATAAAGAAAATAAAACAGACATGGCTAATAAATAGGGGGGAAAGAAAGAAAGAAAAAAATGGAGGGGGGGGGGGGGGGGAGAACTAGAAGCCATTGTATTCTAGAGGCTTGCTATCATCTGAGTAGGATGTGCTTTCAGTATAAAAGAGGTGCCTTGGATTCTCCTAACCTATAAAACAAGACAGTCCCTATGAAATGCACCAGCAGTACCATTTCATGGGACCAGAAGCAGCTGCAGCCAGCTGTGGTGTGAGCAGCAGGTAATCGGCAAGCTCCCACACTGAGATTGGCCGGCCAGGAGTCAGTACTGACACAGGAGCTGTGGGATCATCTGAACTGGGTGCACAGGACATGGGCCTGCAGCAACAGGGACACCTTCCCCTAGATCAAGCTGCCCCAAGCCCCATCTAACCTGGCTTTCAACACTGCCAGGGATGGAGTATCTCCAATTCCTCCTCCAGCCTACAGACACTGATGATGTGGAGATATTTCTATTCCCAATTTACAGAGGGGAAATGGTGGCAGAGTTTAAGAAATCTGCCCATGAACTTTGCAGCAAGTACTGCAGGCTTGAACTCAATGTGTTCACACCCTCCTAAGTGAGAACACCTACATAACTCCGTTCTGGGTCTGTCAGTGGAGGTTGACAGCTTTAATACTAACGTAACGTGATGGTCAGGCTGATTCTGCACAGACCTGAGACACAGACCAACACATCCTCCTCCCATCCACCATGCAACAGCCTCGGAAACTACAGCATTTGCAGGGAACCAGGCCTGAAAAAGCACTGCTAGAAAAGTCAACCAGATACTAACAAAAAACACAATCCTACCCATCCCCAAATCCGTGTTTCTCAGATTGATTTACTGTATGATTATAAAGTGAATCTCACACTCAGAGACTGCAGGCTGGAAAACAGGGCGCTACACACGCAACGGCTCCTTTGATGCTCCTTCAGAACGAAGGGGCTGTTTTCTCCCTGCTGCTCAGAGCAAACATTGGCAGCACTGGCAGATTCTCAAGGCATCACTTCATTCCACAGGGCTGCGGGATGTAGCAATGCAACATTTAAAATGGGTAATAAAAATGGCTGATTACGTTAAACTGGCTGCAACCTATACTCCAGCAAGGAACTGAGTGATGGAAAAGCTTCCTCCTACAAGTCTGTAATGTTGCTGGAGGTTATACTTCCTACTGAGGCAGAGCTACTGTGTGCGGTGGGGCAGTACTGCTTGGAGACTAGGGTAAAATACTGCACTCCTCATGAAATGAGTTTCATTCCCAGCTCAACAGCAATTTATTCTACCAGAAAAGGAGACTGACCAATTTAGAGTGGATTCTTCATCAAAAGCACAATTTATGACTTCAGATTTGCTAGGATCAGTCTTTAGGTTTCTGTGTATGTAAAATTACTGTTAAATACTCTGAGGCAGAGGTAGCTGGGAGTTTCTTAAGCACTTTGGAAACCACAGACTCCATTTAAGTGCAACGTTGTTATTACTCACTATCAAAGCCGAAGCATTCATTTAATGTGTGGGATACAGTAAAAAGCAGTGACAGATGATTGCTGCCTATCAGAAAGATAAAAGGGAAAGGATAACATTTTCTTAATCATAAGGATTAAATAAGCTATACCAGCATGCCAGGCATTAGTTATTTTGTGGCCACTTACAGAGTAGGGAAGCTTACCGTGTGTCTATAAACCCTGCATCACAGAAAGCCTGTTTCAATCAGCATTAGATTCTCCAGTTACACTTCATTTCCTAAATAGCTGGCAAGAGCAGGCTTAAAACAAGGCTTTGAAAACGTGCAGGAGTCAACCCACTCCTACACTCTTCTTGCTCTGGCCATGTTGATAAGTGTAATGATATTAAATGTCCCAGCCCTAAGCTTGTGAGCAAACCATACAACTGGAACTTCATTCTGCAGGTTCAGTCTCCTCTGAAAGCATTCACACTGCTTGAAGCTTTTAATAATTTCTAAAACCTTCGACTTCCACGGGAGGAT